CAAATGGGATCACAACTGGACAAGCCACAAAACTTATGTGAAACAACCTTAAAATTGTCACCTGAGGTCCCAACAAAGGTGCCTTGGCCCGGCCATCAAGTTGCCCACTTGATAATGCTTTTGGTTCATTAGTTTGCTGATTTCTGGCCTTCTCTTTATCACCTTGCTTCTGATTTCCATGTAGGGCCTCGTCTCTTCAGGCCAAAAGCCTGACAAGTGAGGTTAGTGATGATGTGGCAAATACTCATTGGCGCGAGTCAAATACCCGATTTAAAGAATTTACACTGCATTCGCCCGTGTTTTTAGGCAGGCCTGGGTCGATTCAAATTTTAACAAAATTCCAACCCAAATTCGTTCAACTTTTCCATGTAGGGGCCTCGCCTCATCAGGCGAAAAGCCTGACAGATAAGGTTAGTGATGATGTGGCAAACACTCAGAGGTGTAAGTAGGATACCCGATTTAAAGAATTTATACTGCATCAGGCCTGGTCCATTAAAATTTTAACAAAATCTCAACCTAAATTTACCCAATTTGCATCCTTAATTTCAGCTTTCGGCCCCATAAAGAAAAACTTGACATTGAATTTCAAGCTAAAATGTGTGCCACACAGAGAGTATGTGTACCAACAATGTTGCCAACTGTCAATGATCAATTTTCAGACTCCTCGTCGAGCACCAACTCTCGACCAACCAACAAACCAACCGCCAGTTTAGACTTCCATCACCAACAACATGCAAGGGAAGCAGAATCCTACTGATCAGACCAGAAAATGAATTGAATAACCTCGAAAGTGTCAATTCCAAGCCAATACAAAGTACATTTGGCATAGTCAATTGGCCAAGTTGATAATCGCTTAATTGGGCCCCGTTTCTGGTTTGGATTTCTTCTGAACCCAGTTAAGAGATTAAGTGGTTTTGATTTCTGAATTGGGTAGACCCACTCATACAGTCATACGATACCAAATAATTAGCTCAGAACTGGACCCTTCAGGGGCGTACAATTTCAAAGATGAAATCATCCACTGAGATTCGATTTTGAACGCGTCAACTTTTCTCTACCTCTTTTTTTTTTTTTTCCTGAACTTTTCCGTTTATTTTCAGCAGCCTCGGACAATATTGTCAGGATCATACTGGACAACAAAACCCAGAAAGAAAGCTCAATGGGTCATGGTGGTTTTTACAGTTTAACAGTCGGTTAATTCTCTGAGGAAGTGAAAATCATCAAAACAGGAAGGAGTGAAGGACCCCATCACCCATATAAGAGGGGAGAGAATTAATTGAAGTTAGAGAAGAATAATCAAAATCATCTTGATTTGCTAAGAATCGGGTTGAGTAAGACACATTTTGCCTTGGAAAAATTGCCTCATTTGATTATACAAATACTATATTGCTCTTGGGAGAGACGTCTCACCCTCCAATACTGAAATCAGGGAACAACTCTTAATCTGGACCTAAATTTATGGTCAAACAAATGCTTATATATCCATGAATTCGTTGAGTTAATTAGTTTACAGCTATATAAATTTGAATTCGATATTAATTAATCAAGGAGACGTCAGATCAAGATCAATAGAGGGTTGATGGTGAGATTTTAGTTTACTTGGGTTGACTGATAAATAGTGAGATCTTTTGTTTTCTGAACCTGAATCCAAATTATGTCTCATAAAAATACAAGCAACTTCCTACTTTTCCGACAGTTGATGTCTCCTGATTACTGAGGCTGAAGAAATTCTTTGGCTTCTAAACTTATACTTTATTGTATAATAATCAACCATATCCAGTCCCTAAATCACAATGACATTAGTTAGGGAAATTATACTTAGGGGTAGTGACAGTTATCTCTCCTGACATTATTTTGCGACGAAGAGGTAACAGACCATTTTGCCCTTTTAACTTAATTTTTCTAAATTCTAAACTTTACATGTTTCTCTCAATTTTCTTTCAATGATATTATCTTGAGAAAGAATTTTGAATGGGCAATTTAATACACCGGAGAGGTGGGGGTAAAGTGTTGGAATCTAAGGGTATGTTTGGTTTGAAGGAAAATGTAAGAAAATACAGGAACCTATACAAGGTTTGTAAAGGTTTTTCTACCTTTTCCTGCATTTTCCTTCAAACCAAACATAGCCTAAAAGTTCATGGGCGGGGAAGGGGTTAGGAGTCGGTGGGCCAAGTGTTACCATTACCTAAGTACGAAAGTGGCTATCAGTAATTTACCCCATTAATTAATTACAAATTAACATCTCCAAACAATGCAGGTTAATTAAACAGAAAATTCATCTTCCAATCAAACCAAGTTCCCCCAAATAATAATAATAATAATAATACCCATCGATTTTTTTTTATTTTATATTTTCTATATTATATTTCCTTGACAAAATGTTTTCTCATATATGATCTACTCTTAATCAGTCTACAAGAATTTATTTGTGTGTGGTTGTTAATATAATTACTCCACCTTTTTTTTATTTTATTATTGGTATATATAAATGTACATATGGCTTATCATTCGGATAGTGACCATTGTCTCCTCTCTATAGGTCTTTCAGTCAGAAGAGGAGAGCCTTTCACACCATGGCTACTATTACAAGGGACTGAGGACTTTGCTTAAGTGCAAAGCATGGCTCGTACGAAATGAAATTATAAAAAAAAAAATTGTAAAACTCTGATGTTGACCCTTCAATAACACCGGTGACCGGACCACCAAGAGATTGATCTAAGGGTCTCTAGATTTGGAGATAATATTCTCTACCAACGGCCAGATCTGTTGGAGATACCCATAGGCCATAGCTACCTAACCAGGAAGGTAGCTGTGTAAATGTCATACCGTAAGTAGGGTATCCAGATGGGCCCTACAGTGGAGTCCACCATGCATTCATTTCGAACAATTTGGGCCTAGATAATTTTGAGGCCCAAGAAATGTTCGCATTAGCCCAACAGAGGTAAGGTAATACAATGGGTCTGTATCATGGATGGATATAGTTTAATACTTGTTCTCAATGCAGAAAAATCAACACTCCAGCAAGGCAGCGACCTAATCTCTGTATAAATGCACAACACCAGGGTTCCTTAATTAGGACCACTGGCTACCAGTGGGCGAGGTTAGGTAGAGTTGGCTTGGCAGTGAAACATTCTAGGAAAACCTTGGGACGCAACTTGTTGTCCGTCTGCTGCCCCATGGGCCCGGTGTTGAGGATGAAAAGAAGGGCTTTTGATCTGGACCATAGATCGGGCCTGGGCCAGATGCCAAACAGCCCATCCAGTCGTACACTGAATCGAACTCAATTACTCAGCTACATCTGCATCTTTGCTTCCCAGCTCCCACAGAATTACGAATTATATGCAAAGCTCTAGGCCCACCACTCCACACTGCTCCATAAGGCGACAGCACCTCCGGAGCACTGCAACCTACAACCCAGAAGTACGGTGGGGATCCACGTGCTACCGCAACGCTCAAACGGCTCAGTAACCTTCAGAAATGAGTTGGGATCTCCTGCTACTAAAACACGTTCCAACACCTTCCCAACATAATCGGACACTGTATATTTCACATGAGACTGGGACCCGTATTAAGGGGGATTTTTGGGAATATCTTCCCGTGCATAATATTATGTAGGCGGATAAGATATTCCTTATCTGTAATTACAATGTTATGTGGATAAATATGGCAGAAATTTTTGTAGGCAGGAGTTTCGGACTCTTTGCKAAACACTAAAATGTTAGAGCCATGTTATTGCTAGAAGAATCGGCGCTGAAATTTTAGTATGATTGGTCGATTTTGATAATTTTCAGGAATTTGGTCAGAAATCAATTCTTAAAATCGGCCGTTTTTCAGGAATAGTCATTTTCGATGATTTCCTAATTCCCAATTGATTCCGATTTTTTGAGAACATTGAATAATAACTCCAATATAAAAATAATCAGCCCTTAAAAATCAATACCAAACATATTCAAAACTGATTTATCAAAAAAATGACTTACATGACAAGTTTTGATACGAAACAATAAAATTCACCGATTTTTTGAAAAATCAATAAGGTCTCAGCACCGATGCCAAATATCACCTGATTGAGATGTGTGGTATCAGATCATATTGAAAGGGTTTTGGAAGGTATTTTTATTAATAGGACATCCGCATTCTATTTCTATTTGGACGGGGTGTCTGGTAATGTGGACCCAAGACTTAAAATTAGGTTGGGCCACTGGGCCTAAAATGGACGTGTGGCTGGAGCAAAAGTTGGGCCTAAACAGTTGGTAGACCGTAGACTTTTACCTTATGCCCTGAGCATTAATCGAAACAGGAATCATGTGCGTAACTAACTACAGCATCAGTCACAGATCCACATGACCGTCTGATTGGTATAATTGGTTCCACTGCGCATATCCAATGGTGTATTACACAACGGAAAATATCTATGTTAACCATGTGGCAGGCAAATAGAAGATCAGCTTGTCCGGACGTGTCCAGCTATTTGTGGAATGTGGCATACATATTTGGATTAAGAGAGCTGACATCTCAGTTTATTCGAATCCGACGRTTGCCAATCCGGTAAGTTATAAGTGACCAGTGGATATTCCRTCAGTTAACACATTACCCCTCGCAAAGTACGTGTCTTCTTGTATGGTAAAACCTTCACACGTGCTGAGACAAAGAAGAGAAATATGTCGGCACGTGACAAGAACAGGGAACTTAAGTTGTGAGGACCCTCTTTCTCTCTCTCTCTCTCTCTCATGTCAATTTTGAAGCCATAACCATTCTTTTGTATAAATGCAAGAAAATGACGCGTCGCCCTCACGATTAAAACTCCTGTCGGGGGGGCTTTTTTCGGTCCCCGCCCTACGACACGGATGTAATAGTGAAAGACTGAAGGGGAGATACGGATACGCGTAGAATGCCCCGAAGGGACACGTACGCTGGACGCGACAATACGGTCCGTCTTGTGAGGACACCCTCCCCGATCCCCTCCGCAATCCGCATTTATAGCCCTCCGCTTCTCTCCCTTTCCTCTCTCAGATTTTTCTCTTTTTTTCTCATTGTCGAATACTTAGTCCTCTCATCTCCTTCCACTTCCACCTTCTCTCGAGAAACCGTATGAGCTATCGACAGTGATCCTTCCTCAAACGTAAGGCGATCGATTTTTCTTCTGGGGTGGTTTCTGGTTTGTTCTGTCGAATCCGAGCTCTGAATTCTTCTGCTCGAAGCGACTCCGAAGTTCGGATTCCGTTGTAACGCCCACCAAGGAGCTTGAGCTTGTGTGGGTTGGTCATTGGTGTTGAATTGAGGGAATGCGAAGTAGATAAGGTTCTGTTTGTCTCTGTGAGGGAAACCGGAAGCTCAGTTCCGTTTCCGTTTGTTTGTTAACCAATAAGTCTAGGATTTTGAGTGAATTTGATCATTCATGGAGCGGATTTCGTGTTTCGATAGCAGATCTGAAGGTTGCAAGGATGATAAGCAGGAAATGGCGGAAGATAGCTTTGAATTCGGTGACGGAATATTAATGACGGAAAATCTTCTACAAGAAGCAACCGTTCCAGGGAGCTCTTTCACCGCTCTTCTCGGACTCCCGGCGAATCAAGCTATGGAACTCCTCCAAGATCCTCTTTCCGGCAAACCTCAGACGGTTATCGCCCCGGAGATGTGGAGAGATAGCCGGAGTGGACAGGAGGACATGCGCTACACATTCAACTGCTCTCCAACCTTTCCTACCGACGCCGCTCTTGTCGAACGAGCGAGCAAGTTCTCAGTCTTCGCTGCCGCACAGAACTCGACTGACAAGTGCCCTGTTCCTTCGAATTCAAACGAGAATTCGCTCAAACCGAAGAGCGAGCCCGCCGATTCCGAGTCAAACCCGAGCTCCTGCCTGGTTTCCTCCGATCCCGCAACGCCGAGCGAGAACCAGGCGTCGACGAAGCGGAAGGAGCGAGAAAAGAAGGTAAACATTCGAAATCAGCGCTCTAGGGTTTCCCTTTCTGGCAACTGGTTCTCTCTCTCTCTGCTCAGTGTAAAGCTCTCAGACTGTTCGCTTTTTCCATTTCCGGAAATCAGGTTAAGGTCCCTGCTAAAAGGAGCAAAAACGTGGAGAATGAGAGTTCGAAAGCAGGCGAAGCGAAAGACGGCGAGAAGCTTCCTTACGTTCACGTTCGAGCTCGTCGTGGCCAAGCAACTGACAGCCACAGTTTAGCAGAAAGGGTAATCTCACTTCATTAACTTATCACACAAGTCTATTCCACGTAATGATTAACAATAATTACTTACTTAAATCTTAAATCTTAAATCTCAATTAATTTTTCGATTTCCAGGCGAGGAGAGAGAAGATAAATGCTCGGATGAAGCTCCTCCAGGAACTGGTCCCAGGCTGCAGTAAGGTTAGTTCTCTCTTCTTTGTCATTTTGAATGAATCTAGGGTCATTATCGTAATTTTAAATCGTATTATAATCTCCTTTGTCGTAGACTTTTGTTTTTTGAAAATAGATTGGCCATTGATGCTAGTGGAATAACGATAATACCCTTTGAAACTTTGAAGTAGACGGGGGGGGCCGTCTGATCTGGTAAATTAGTTAGGAATCTCTGGTGGGAAGGGGTAAAAGCGACAAAAACAAGAGCCTCCCCCTCCCCCACCCAACTGCGAATGATAGAGGAGACGCGACGTGATAGAGATGGACCATGAGTCACTATTTCCGTGATGGCGTCCTCTTCAGGAGTACGTACTCATTAGCTCTTTTACCTATGGATGGTCCCTCGAAATTCACACCCACACGATTTTCGATGACCATCCAACGGTGGTCAGTGGGCCCTAGGAAGTACGTTGAGCTTGTTCGTCCACAGAGACGAGTCTGAGGCTCTGAGCCTCCTCTTGTGTGGGGGGGGGGGGGATGATCTCCGTGTATGGATACAGAGACCGATAGCACCGAAACCAACTCGGCCGTATGTGAACGTTAGCGTGTCTGATCTTTTGACTTCTCATCCGACGATTAGGATCACCTGATTGAGTCCCCTCTTTGAGAGCCATAGTGCTCTTTGGTGGTCCAGTCCATGTGTTCATCACATTTATTGTCTTCTATGATACGAGGACCACAGATCTTTCAACGAATCACGATTTGATGGCCATAGGGTTGGAGCTAGTGGGAGGACCGGTGGACCACATTGACAGTTATATTCTAATCCGATGGTTGTCTGTAGCGGTCCCGGATGAGACCAATCTACTTTATGTGCTCCAGAGCACATATTATCCAGTTGCAGAGGGAGGGGGGACTTTCCTAGTTAGTAGAATAGTAGTTACCATTATCTGGGCCGCCAAATAACGGGAAACGGAAAACGGAAAAGGTTGTTTGGAAACGGAGAGTACCAAATTCCAAATATCGATTTGTTTTGTTTTGATATCCGTCCGAGTCAGACTCAGGACCACATCAAATCCGAAGCTTTTAGGAGCCCCCTGATGATGGACAAACATGCGCCATCACATCAGGATCACCAGTCCTGATTCCATGTAGCATCTGGTACTGGTATGGCCTGTTGAAAATTGCCATTCAGTGTGTGTTTCCTGACCATTGGATCTTTGGGTAAAGACTTGGGGTGACCATAAGATGACATGGGTTGGACCGTAATTCTGGATGGAGGAGTAAAAACTTAATCGATAGGGGCTTAATAGGATAGGATTGATTGTTATTTCAAATGTGGTCCATCAAAGGTTTGGGCTACCAGTAACCTGGTACGACCTGTAATCACCATTATATATCTCTTTCCTGTTTCGCTTTTATTATAGAGATGTACGGTGTAGATCAGCCAAATATCATCTCGGAGAATTTGCAGGCTTTCGGTACTTTTTCGTTATAGGGCATTTTAGTCATTGTACACCAATATTAATCAACAAGGCCCTTCTTAATTACTCAACCTTCTTAGAAACGGGAAAATGTATCACCATCTTAAGCGTTTTCTCCTTTTTTTTGGTTTCATTGGTGCTCTTTTACGAAAAAAAATGCTTTTGCAGATTTCTGGTACGGCGTTGGTGCTGGACGAGATAATCAACCACGTACAGTCTCTACAGCGCCAAGTGGAGGTCAGTGTCCGAATTCAGAACAGAACCCAACCCCTCCTTCCCTCATTTATTTTCGTTTCGAGTTCGTTTTCAACTTTCTGCCCGATAAAGGCATAAAGCTATACCAGCAATAATAGCCGGATGCTGCGTGGGCGTTTTGGTCATTTTGAATCATTATTTTCTTGCACTTTGTTCTGATTCGAGGTTTTTTTTTTTTTGGGGTTTCAGTTCTTATCAATGAGACTCGCTGCGGTTACCCCGAGGATCGACTTCAGCCTCGACAGCTTTTTCGCCGCAGAAGTACGCACTGCCCACTATATTTATGGCTCTCTTTTTTCTTCTTGCAGGCAAAAGTTAATTTCTTAAAAGTTTATTGACTGTTAATTCATCGTTTTTAAAAACTTATTGACTTTGTACCACACCGTGTTTTTTTCTCTCCAAAGATTAGAAGTACTGGAGTAGGATTAGCAAAAAACAGACTAGAAATATCTAGTATGAACGCAGACAGAAATGGTTAACCCACTTGCCAATGAGTTAATGGTACCTGCCACCTTCCATTAAGAAACAAAAATTAGAAGTGAATGGCGCCTAAAATTTCTTCCCAGGACAACACGAAACCTGTTTTTGTAACTTTACCGAATATGCCTGAAAATCTTGTCTGGGTTCAATAATTCTGTTTGGGGGGTGGGGACAGCACTTCTTAAGTAGGCCTGAGCGACAGTTTACAGTTCTATTAGTGCATGCAATATTTCTGCTACAGCACTCCAGTGAGAATGAAAGAGATATTAGTGCCAACCCAGTACCCATTATTAGCCTGAGATCTGCAGCGCTTCAAAAAGAATGTCCAGGATCCTATGGCCATGGTTATCGACTATGGTTAGTTTTTGTCAAAGAGTCTCTTAAACCAGTGCTTTGATATATGTGGTGGTTCAGTCCACTTAGGGTTGTTGGAAGGGTGGTCGATCCTACTTTAGCTTTCCCTTCTCTTCATGGGTCCCATATTTCCTTAACAAGGGCAGACATGCAAGGGTCCTTGTGTTACAAAAGTCTCCGATTGAAACACCCGTGATATTTGAATCTCGTCTGGTTCTCACTCATCTCCTTTCATGGTGACATGACATAACTTGTCTATTACTTGTTGGTTTCTTGCAGAGTGGATGTGTAACGCCCAGTAGCTGCCCCAGCACAGTGACGTTTGAGCCATTGATGTGGCAGCAACAACAGAATCAGCCTCTATGGGAGGGTGACGTGCTCCAACGACAGATGTGGGAAAGAGATGACAGCCATAGCTTCCTTGCACCGGAGAACTTCCTTTTCAGTTACAACTCAGCAAATTCAGGTAAAATTTTAAACCGTAACCCATTATTATATAAATAAATGATCACGAACACAAAACACAGTATAACATGTAATCATATACAAAAGAAACTGAAGTGAACAATGACAGGGAACAGAAAAAAAAAATAAAAAATAAAAAGTCAAAAATGATTAACTTGGTTCCAAATTCTTATTGTTGCAGTGCCTCTGAGCTCGAACCACCTGAAAATGGAACTATGAAGCCGGAATGGAGCCTGGTGGCTGCTTGGTATTGGTAGTGTACATAATGGATATATTATTAGCAGCAGGTAGCAGGGTAGTGAAGAGGAGCAGTCAGCAACTCAGCATTCCTTGGGGTTTCGATGTTTATGCGGTGTTGGCAGAGACATCCAGAAAACCCTAATTTTTCATCATGTAGGGGAGCTAAAGAAATAGAAGAGAATAGATAATTCGATTCCATAAATTTTATATATATGTCTAAATCTAATTACTAACTGGGTCATTCAATCTTCTACTTAAATTTCATTTGTGAGATGATTGATTGATTCATTGTATAATTTGGAACAAGTTGTTGCTTGAATATTATTAAAATCGCCTCTCTTTCCTCCTATTTATTTTCATTTCTCATGTATGTCTGCTCCAACGAACCCTTGCATATATCCATTCTCTCATGTTAAGATGAGGATTTGGATGCATGTATGATAAATATGAATGAATCTGTATGCGCTCCACGGCTCCAGCTGTCTCTATAAAAAAGGCCGATATTAATACTATAGCCCTAACTGACGATAATTCCTGTATTTTTATAATTTACGATGTATCAATTATCTGTCTGATATCGTTTTAGAGGGTGGATAAGTAATTTACGTTTCTCTTTTTATCCGAATAAGTTATTTACATCACACAAAAGCTCTGTGGATGGTTGGGCTTCCTTCTTCAATCCATGGGCTTTGATTCTTCGAAATTGCAAGGCTCATTACGTATACCATTGGATTGAATGCTTGTTAAATTCGCGGACGGTCATATCATTGGAAAATGGAAACAGAGCTCTCTAAAGTCTACGCCTTAAGCTTGAAGAACGAAAGAAAGAAGAAATCAAGAAATAGTAAAAATAAATAAAGAATGAAGAGAGGGAGTAAAGGCCGTAGGTTGATAAGTTGATTAGGTGGTGCTTTGACTTTCGAAGTTTCATGTATGAATGAAACGAGTCACACGACGAACTGAACACAGACAGATTCACGTATGACATGGCATTGCTCTTTCATTTGCTTTAGAACACTACAATTACAACCCGAATTTACGTCATCCACATCACATGTGTTACAGTCACTGAGTCGACCCAATCTACGCTCCCCGCCACCGACTGCGGTGCCGTTGGCTACGGATGCGGGAGGTGGACGAGTCAGAAGACTACCGGAAGGCCACCTGACGGCGACGATGTTCTTGAGATTGGGGGGGTGGGGGTGTTGGAAATCGAGGGAGCTCGGGTTTTGGGTGGGATGCGGTTGATGTACCGTCCCACGGAGTCCTGACCATCCTCTTGGAGTTGGAGAAGGTAAATAGAGTACGTAGTGTCGACGGTGAACGCGACGAATGTGGAGCACCACCGGCGGCCGTGTGATCGACGGTAAGTGACTGAAGTTTTGCCAAATTCCATGTAAATCAATGATCAGAAGGACGTCATCGTGAGATATTTACATATTGCCGGCTAGGCCTACTGTTTTTGACTTTTCAGGAAAACCCGAATTTAAGTGAGATATTTTTAGATATTTAAAAGTGTGCTTGGGCTTGTTACATAATAATTCTAGATAATGATAATGATATTAATATTATATTTAAAATTTTTTATATTTTTTTATTTCTTATTTTTATTATTAATTAGATGCAGGTTGAAAATTCAAATCTCATGTAAACATCTTTTCAAATACGTGATAATCAGATCCAGTTAAGTTTTAAGAATTATTAATAGACCTACTTAGTTGGTTAGATTTTTCTTTTTATAATATTTAATCTTTTTTGTGTATCTTTTTTTTTTGTTCACTTATAAAAGAAATGTAAGATTTAAATGGAGAGAATTGAATGGGTTTAAAAGTAGTATTTCAAATTACAATTTAAACCTCACAATTAAATAGGGACCAACTTCAAAATTGAGTATTTTAGTCAAAAAAAAAATTTCACAATCTTATTCATATTTTTAGTAGTAGTATATAAATATAAAATTATAGATGTATCCAGTTTTTTTCTATACTTTTTTTTTGTATTTTTGTGTGTAAAAATAATTCTAATATGTTGCACTTTTGTTTAATATGATAAATATATGATATTATACATGTGTCTAAATGTTTTTTGAAAAATTTATATATTTTTTTTATATTTATATTTTATATTTTATTAACTTTTATATTTATTTATGACGTTAAAGGTTAACATGTTTGACCCAAAATTTGAACTATTAATCTTTGCCAAACAGTAAAATAATTTCATCTTGGTCAGTTCTAAATTATGTATTTCATTTTCATTATCAATAAAAGTAATTGTTTATTACACTCATTTTTTTAATTTGATTAATAAATATATCATAAATGTGCAATTTTTTGTAAGTTTTTGTAATTGTTTCTATTTTAAAAATTTTATTACCTAACTATGACTCATAGGTTGATCAATTTGATTCGGATGGTTGAATTGCTTAGTCACCACTTGGATTAAAATTGGATTTTTTTAAGTCAATTTTAAAATATATGGGTTTATATTGTTAAAAATATTGACACATATCTAATTTAATAAGAGAATATGGGGGTTAATAATTTTACTATAAGACATAGTAAGAGGGGATTAAATGAGGTGAGAAGTAATAATTGAAATTACATTTTCAATATTATCATTAGAGATGGACTAAATACATAATTATGAGCATTTTAATAGCCATTAAAGCTAAGTTGGCATTAAAATTATAATAAAATGACTTTTATACATTTTCTCAAACAAAGAAGTAGAGGAAAATTTTAGTTTAAAAAAAATCACATTGCATTCACACTTTTATATATAATATAGATATGGTATGAAATAATGGTCTGTTTGGTGAATATTGAGCATATGGACACTAGTCCATGTGCTTAAAATCGACTAATAACTAAAGTTGTCCAACCCAAATAAGCTAGAGACAGATTTTTTTTATGTATGTAATAATCCATGGATTATTAGGTAGAGAAACTGGCCCATTATGGAGCTTCACCCAGAAATCTCAAAACAACTCTAAATAGCCTTGTAATGGACCTCAGAGCAGATATTTTCAGCGTTTTACTATTTATGTATCCTAGGACTGACAATTAATAAAGTATTGGGGTTTTTACAGTTGGGGTAAGTGCCAACTCGGAATTCATGCCAATACACTAGTGGGTATTCGTGTTTAGGTGGAGGTATTTAAAATTTTGAATTGTTAAAGGTCTACAACGAAATTCAGAATTCTGAGGTAGAATGCAGTCTATTTATCTTCTAGCTGACAGTGACGGACTCCAGGATTCAAATAATATCTTCTACTTGACAGGGACTGACTCCTGAATTCAAATAAAATCTTCTACAACCAAGCTTGGTAGACCAGGTTCCATTGCTTTTTGCTTTTTTGCTTTTTGCTTTATTTTTCAAGGATCTACTATTTGATGATATCACCACTGTGGATTTTCACAGAGAACTTGAACTCAAGATACATCCATACATGATAGAGACAACATGCTCCAAGTATTCCAATGTAACCAAGGTTTCAACTATATATAGCGTATTGTATCATATTTTTCCGTATCCAATACACTTGTTTACAGGTGCTACACACATATACCCACCCATGATATATAAACTAAAATTTAACAGAAAAAAATAAAAATAAAAAGAAAGGCATGCTGGCTTAAAAGTTAAAATACCAATATATCCCTGTTGATACATAGGTCTATGGATACTTTGAACCATGAGTTTAACGTTACTAAAAGCATGATCTTTAGGGCATTCGTTTTTTGGATTTTGAGAAAGAGAAAAGTTGGTCAATGGGATTTTGGTTTCCGTTGAATAAAAATCTCATATTCTTTTTTCAGATTTATGTGGAGATCAAGGAAACCTATCTCTCGAGTGGGTAAATAACTTTTCCACTTGAAGGAAAATTGCCAACACTTAATGCAACAAAAATGCCTCTTTTAATAATGGATTTTTATAGCTAAAATGGTTATTGCCTTATTTACCTAGAAAAAAAAACATGAATAAATACACTTACCCCTAGATAAGTAATTTACCGAAAAGCGAACTGGGCTTAGTAATGATCCCCTTGGTAGAAAAAGCAAGGGGGTGGCCAGATCAGAGCCTATCTAATTAACCAGCTGCCATCKAATCCCAAATTCAACAAAGGGTTCCATAACCAATCTACTTCTCATTTACATATCTGTTGTTTCTAGGAATGAGATTTATCAGATTCAAAACACATCCTTTCTACAATGGATCATTACCCAATGTTGGTCTCAGTCATTTGGGGGGTCTTAGGAGGGGTGGACGGGATACGGGTAAATAAACTTTAAACAAAGTGGCTGCTCTCAGACGGATTGCCACTTTCTCAGTTGTCAGCTTGAGATTCTACCATTACACTAAGCAATAGAGGTGTAATATGGGCTGGGCCTTTTGCAGGCCATTCACACCGTAATGGGCCGGTCCTGCCTGGCACAAATTCCCTAAAGGGGAGCCGGGCATGACCAATGGCCCAGGTCCTGCGGACCTAATTGGGCTGGGCTGTGTTTCAAGTTGTGGGCCAGCATGATTTTTTTCATTTTTTAGGAAGAAATTGAAAAAAAAAAACAATGAAAGTAAAAAATTACAAATTTATGATAAAATTAAAATAAGAAAAGAACAAATTGGAAAAAACATAAGATTTTATTTCATATGAATAATTCAATTGAAAAAAAATACAAGAAATTAAAAAATATATATATAACTTACAAATTTACAAATTACAAATAAAACTACAAAGTCGCATTGATGAACCTTGTGCCCGGCACGGCCCGAGCCATGCCGGGATTGGTGGGCCGTGCCGGGTTGTGCCAACCCGAGGGTGGAACAGCCCATTTTACACCTCAACTAAGCAATGAGCCCTTGTTTAATTGAAATTCATCGATGGGAACCTATCTTCTAATCACAGCCTTCAAAGCAACTTGAAATTTATCAACATGAATCTTACCCAGAAGAAGGTACAAATTACTGGAATAGGTTGATTGGTCATTCAGGTCTCCACTCTCCACCAACAGTAGGGAACAGGAACATAAAAGAGATATGTTCGTGCTATTCTTTTGACAAAGACAGTTTGGCAGAGAGCATCTGTCGCGCTATTGCCATTTTTTATGTATGAACCCTCTTGTAACAATTAAGACCACAGAAAGTCCCCAACTGCAACTCACTAGAAATTATGTCGGAAGGTGATTTTCTTCTTAGGAGAGAAATTTGTAATATGTAACCATTATAAAATAGCCTGTTTTTATAGTACTTGAAGTGCACATTACATATTCTTTTGCAAAATTAGGATTCTTTTCAAAATTTAAATATACCAGGCTAATTTTTTCACTTATGTTCATAAGAGTAAGTTTTCTAGTCA